TTTGTTTATTACCACTTTGGGGCTATCCAAGTTTACATTTTCACCTGCTTTGTCAGATGGTTAGGTAGCTGGTGTTACATGGGTTCTTGGCTGAAAGAAGAGAATCCCAGAAAGATATTTAAATGTGTTTTATTGACTATTTAAAAGCTTTCAACAGTATGGATCATGAAAAACTGTGGATAGCATTGCAAAAAAATGGGTATTCCAGATCACTTCATGGTGCTCATGAGGAATCTATACACAGACCAAGAGGCAGTCGTTTCAACAGAACTAGGGTTCACAATCAGAAAAGCTGTATGTCAGAGTTGTATCTTTTCAGTCTCTATGCTGAGCAAATATTCCAGGAAGCTGAGTTATATGAAGAAGAACATGGCAACAGAATTAGAGGAAGACTCATTATCAACCTGCCATGTTGTTGTTGTTAAGTGCTGTCGAGTCGGTTCCGACCCATAGCGACCCTGAACAGGGTTTCCAAGGCTGTAAATCTTTACAGGAGCAGAAATCCTCATCTTTCTCCCACAGAGCAGCTGGTAGTTTTGAACTGCTGACCTTGAGGTTCACAGCCCGATTCGTAACCACTATGCTACCAGAGCTCCTTATCAACCTGCGATACTCAGGATTTAAAATATTTACTGATGAAGATCAAAGACCACAGCCTTCAGTATGGCTTATTGTCATTCAGTGCTGTTGAGTGGATTTCCAAGCCATAGTGACCACTTCAAAATAAAACAAAAATTCTCACAACTGAATCAGTCAGCACCATGATGATAAAAGGAGAAATGTTTGAAGCTGTCAAGGATTGCGCTTTGCTTGGATCCATAATTGACACTCATGTTGTTATGTGCCATGGAGTCAGTTCTGACTCATAAAGACCCTGTGCAGGGTTTCCAAGGAACGGCTGGTGGTTTGAAGCACTGTCCAGCTTTCTCATGCATATGAGACAATTGAAAATACCATGGCTTAGTCCTCAAACTGACCTCTTTGCTCTTGAACACTTTAAAAAGGTCTTGTGCAGCAGATTTCCCTAATGCAATATGTCATTTGATTCTTGACTGCTGCTTCCATGAGTGTAGATTGTGGACCCAATTTAAATATCTTTCTGATATTCTCTTCTTTCAGCCAAGAACCCATGTAAAATTAAGTCTTTGACAACTTCAATCTTTTCTCCATTTATCATGATGCTATTTATTGGTCCAGTTATGAAGACCTATGTTTTCTTTACATTGAGGTGCAATCCATGTTGAAGATAAATAATCATTTGCTAGCTCTTAAAATGGTTGAACATCAACCATTTCTTTTGTTACAGTGAGTCTGTTTAGTCCCTCCATCTTCTTTTGATGCTTTCTGCATCATTCAATAATTTGCCCAGAGAATCCTTCAGTTTTTCAAGTCGAGGCTCGAATTTTTCTTCAACTCTTTTTTCCCATTGAGTTGTGACTCTTCTTTGATCATGTGGGAGTCTTTTATGTGTACTAACATCCACTCCAAGGCCACTTCATCCTGTTCTATTAAATTAGTTGTATTCTAGAAACAACAGTCAGTAATATTTTTATTGAGACTTTCCCCTATATCTGTTATGACAAATTCCCCATATCATCTTCTTGTCCAAAAAACAAATTGATTATTCTTATGAATTCATTTATCCAAATGAAAGTTAGAATTTGGACCCATTCCCCTCTGGTCCTAGGGAAATTTGATTGGGATTCCATTTCTTTAGTTCTTCCGTTCTGGATCATTGATAGACGTTCGGTTTTCCTTTCTATTGTAGTTTGGATGGATGGTCACAGAACAACTCAGTTTTCCATTCAATAATTTACGCACACTTTGTTTTGTACATTGGCTGCAATCTCTCCAGTGTAACAACACATTTTCCTCTTAGTCTGTGGATTCCCGCTTTCCATCTGTCCTTTCTTGCCTCTCTGCTCTGAGTTTTGTTTTGGGGCAAATGCTGACCTTTTTGATCTTCCATGGCTGATAGCACTGAAGAGGAAACTCCTTACAGTGTTATTGTTCATTTCACAGGTCTGTTGATTGTTCAAGTTGATCTCTGGGAGTGGGTGCAGTTCCAGGTCTGAAGAGCACTAAAAGGCCACTGATTTGGGGTTCCATTAGCCTCTATTCTTAGGCTTTCTTCACAGAGGTTCTGTTCGGATGGTCTAAGAGGTTTATTATGACAATCAAAAAGCAAATCACCCCTGCTTCATCCAGGCTACTTAATTATTGTTGAAATAACAGAAAGTAGGTAATGAAACAAGCTATATGAATGGTTGAATGTGAAGCTGATGATGTGCCCTGTAAACTTTCACTCAATGCAAAATAAAAACATTTAATTAAAAAAAAAAAGAAAGTAGGTGACTTTTTTTGTTTTATTTTTACAACGTATCATATAACTGCCCATCCCTGAATGCGTTGATTAATTCCGAGTGTGGCGCTGCAGGATAAGCACTGGACTGCTACCTGGGAGGTGGGTGGTTCACATCTACCAGCCTCTCCTCAGAAATTGTATACAGGGTCGCTCGCTAGAAGTCAGAACTGACACGACAGCACTTCACAAAAGCCACAACAAAAGATGATTTTCAGTTTGCACGCCTATAAATAATATTTTTTGTCTCTTCTTTTTTGATGTTGTTGTTAAATGTCATCGAGTCAGTTCCCAGTCATAGCAAACCGGTTTAGGGTTTCTAAGGCTTTAAATCCTCATGGGAGCAGAAAGCTTCCTCCCCATCCTGACTCCAATCTGGAAACCCCTTTTCTTGAACATTCCCGCTCTCCCGCCCCCAAATCCCTCCTGGCCTGTAGCTTTCTGAGGAGTTGGTTCTTTGAGAACTTTGCCATAGTCCTCTGTAGTTCTTTTGGAACCACTTTTGGGAACCCAGTGGTTTTTGCATGGTTTTTTTCTTGAAGGTCAAGGGGAGAATGTAGAGTGAGGATTAGAGTTAGGACGATGGCTAAGTCTAGGAATTCATATAGTATTGGCGGTATGGTTGTTGTCGTTGTGAGGTATCATCAGGTGGGTTCAGCTCATCCCATTGGTGGTCTTTCTCTGTTTTAATGACCCTCCACTTTATCAGGAGTCCTGATGTGGTGCTGTAGGATAAGCATTGGCCTCGTAACCACAAGGTCAATAGTTCAAATCCACCAGCTGCTCCTCAGAAACCCTATATAGAGTCTCTATGAGTTGGGGGTGTGATGGCTTTACCCAGTAAGCGCTAAACTGTGGTTGGAGCGCACCATCCACTCTGGGGGAGATAGATGAGGCTTTTTGCTTTCTGGAGATATAAGCCTTGGAAACCCTATGCAGCGTTTCTATGAATTGGGACAGACTCATATGGATGCGAAAGCTGGACAGTGAATAAGGAAGATAGTAGAAGAATTGATGCCTTTGAGTTGTGGTGTTGGAGGAGAATACTGAAAGTGCCATGGACTGCCAAAAGAACCAATAGATCTGTTTTGGAAGAAGTGCAGCCAGAGTACTCCTTGGAGGCCAAGATGGCTAAGCTTCGTCTCTCATACTTTGGACATATTGTCCGGAGGAAACAATCGCTGGAGAAGGATGTCATGCTGGGTAGGGTGGAGGGTCAGAGAAAAAGAGGAAGACCCCAATGAGATGGATCAGCCAGGTGGCATCATTGATGGACTCAAGTGTGGCAGCGGTAGTGAGGTTGGCCCAGGATCGGATATTGTTTCGTTCTGCTGTGCATGAGGTCGCTATGAGTCGGTTCCAACTCGATGGCACTTGACAACAACAACAACAAGGAGCTCTGGTAGCATAGTGGTTACGAATCGAGCTGCGAACCACAAGGTTAGCAGTTCGAAACTACCAGCTGCTCCGTGGGAGAAAGCTGAGGCTTTATGCTTCTATGAAGATTTACAGCCTCGGAAATCCTGTGCAGGGTCGCTATGGGTCAGAACTGACTCAACGGCACATAACAACAACAACATGGCACTTAACAACATGAGTCAGAACCACCTTGAGAGCACATAACAACTTCATCGAGTCCTGGTGTGCCGCTGTAGGACAAGCACTGAACTGCTAGCCTCAAGGTTGGCGGTGCAAACCCGCCAGTCGCTCCTCAGAAAGCCTATGGTGATGGTGGTTATGTGCTGTGGAGTCGGTTCCGACTCATAGCGACCCTGTACAGGGTTTCCGAGGCTGTAAATCTTTACAGGCGCAGAAAGTCTCATGTTTCTCCTGTGGAGCAGCTGGTAGTTTCGAACTGCTGACCTTGCGGTTCGCAGCCCGATTCGTAACCACTACGCTACCAGAGCTCCTTTGAAAGCCTATAAGGGTCGCTATTTGTAGGAACCGACTCGACAGCATTTACCAACTCGACAGCATTTACCAACCGCATGTCCTTTTCCAGGGATATGCTTAGGACTAGGATTCGAGTTAAGAATAGGGATTGGGCTAGGGCTAAGGCTAAGAGTAGGGCTTGGTCTGATTTTAGGATTACAGTTGTTGTTAAGTGCCGGCGAGTCGATTCCGACCCATAGCTACCCTCTACAGGGTTTCCGAGGAGCAGCTGGTGAGCTTGAACCGCAGACCTTACAGTTAGGCTTACTTTTATTATTTTATTTTGTTTATTTTTAAAGTTTATTTAGCAAAGTATCTTTTAGGTTTTTTGGCCATTTGCTTGCTTTTTTTTTTTTTAAGTAAAAGTTCAAGTTTCAGATTTTCCAGGTCAGCCCAGCCCATCCCCGCGGTGGACGAGCCCAGAAGGACAGACCAGAATACGCGGGAGTCAGGCGTAGAGTCCGCTGGGTGGGGCTTAGCCAGGTCTGGCCCCGCCCATTGCTGGCGCACATGCGTCCTAGAACTTCGCCGTTTCCGTTTGGACCCTCTCGCCTGCCGTCATTTCCCAGCCTGCTTTGGGCAGCCGCTCCCGGAAGTGGTTTTGCTTACTGAGAAACACGGGGCTTCTTTCCGAGCCGCGAGTGTTGGCGTCAGTAGAGCAGGTTAACAGGGGCCTTGTGGGGGCGAGACGGGCCGCACTTGTGCCATGGCTCGGAGTCAGGACATGTTCGATGCCATCGTGATGGCAGAGGAAAGGTGGGTGGGGGCGTGCGATGGCCTCCGAACCCCGCCCCGCCGGGTGTCCTCGGCGCCTATTTGCTGCGGGCGCGGGGCGGGGCGGCCGCTTGGGCCGGGGGGTCCGGCGGGGGGCGCATCGGGGCCGGGGCGGGGGGCTGTGGCGTCTCCTTTCTCTCAGGCCGGCCGTCGCCACGTGCCCAGCTGCTCCTCCGGGCCCGCCTCCCCGGCAGCATCTGCTGGCTCCCGCTCCGGGGACGCCCCGTGCTCGGGCGGGACAGACCTTTGCCATCTGGGAGCCGCCACTCTCCCTTGTTCCTTCCTCGGAGGACATACGGCAGCATTCATGGTTCTGCTGATAAATGTGGCAGACTTTGTTATCCTGGCCCCGGGGGGAGCCCCGGGGGACCGTCTCGGATGGGGAGCTGCCTTGTGGCGGCCGTCCAGCGTCCAGCCCATAAATGTCAGGCAGGAAAGCGAGTGAGCTCTGAACAATCGGCTGCTGACACGCATTGAGCGCTTATTGTGAATCAGACACCAGTTATGTCATTGAGCATCATTTGGGGAGTGGTCCTATTATTGGCCCTATTTTACAGCTGAAGAAGCCCAGTTACTCCCCAGGGTCCCATAACTGTTAAGTGTGCATCTCTGGGGGTGGAGGTGGGCCTCCAAGAAACTGCTGTCCTCTTTGGGGACTGCAGGCTTAAATGGTGCCCGTCTGCTGTGGAGTCCTGCAAGCCAGCGCCTTTAGTAGCTGCCCCACGTTGCAGCCCGGGGATGCAGGGAGTAAGCGCTAGGCTGGTCACCAAAAGTCGGAGGTTCAAACTCACTAGCTGCTCTGCTCGGGGTGGGATGGGAGGTGCATGAAGGCAGTAAAATTATAAGCAACTGCTGTGCAGACCGGTCTGACTCAAGGACCACAACAGACAACCTCGTGTTTTTCCCGAGAAATGTCTGGTGGGTGTGGACTGCTGACCTTGCGGTGAACAGCCCAGATCCCATAGTGCCACCGGAGCACCTTGGTGTAAAGATGACAGGCTTGGAAACCCTATGGGCGCCGTTCTGCTTGGTCCTGGTGGGTGGCGATGACTCGGTTACTATGAGTCAACGGCAGTGTGTTCTTTCTCCTTTTTTTATACCACGCTCCTTGTGCGTTTTGCCATCTGCTGGCACTTCTCAGCGCTGTCCACTGAGTTGTGATGAGAGGCCTTGTAGGAATGACTTTGGGAACATTTGCCCAGGTTGTTATTGCCGACAGACTCAGGACTTGGGCTACCTGACCTGCTGGCCCTCCTTCACGAACCACCCAAAAGGCCTTGAGAAGGGCCCTACTCAAGGAAAAGAGATAATGAGTATCTTTAAAGTGTCCATCTATGCCTGGTCCTCGTCCACGTTTGGGGATCACCGAGGTGGCCCACTCTCAGTGAGCTTCCAGGGTACAGAGATTCACTGGAGGAGAGGCATACAAAGTGGAGGGGTTGGGCTTGGAGCCTGTATCTACTGGTGTTTGAAATCTATTCTCTTTCTGTGCACTCTGGGTGGTTTTCGTGGGTCTGGGTAATAGAAGAGAGAACAGTTGTTCTAGAAAACAACAAAAAAAACTCGTGTTCATTGACCTGCGCACGCTGCTTCTCTGGCCTAGGTTTCATGGAGAGGGCTACCGGGAAGGCTATGAAGAAGGCAGTAGTATGGGTGTAGTTGAAGGAAGGCGGTACGGCACGCTCCATGGAGCCAAAATTGGATCTGAGGTAGGTGGGAACCTGATGTGGCAACAAGTCCTTCTGACCTTGACGTTTGGTGGTGGTGGTGATGTGCCGTGGAGTCAGTTCCAACACATATAGTGACCCCTGTACAGAGTTTCCAAGGCTGTAAATCTTTACAGGAGTAGAAAGCCTCATCTTTCTACCGCGGAACAGCTGGTAGTTTTGAACTGCTGACCCTGAGGTTAGCAGCCAGACTCGTAACCACTACACTACCAGAGCTCCTTACCTTGACATTTAGGGCGATTGAATCAGAAGTCCAGAACCTTAAATTAAATGAGTGTTGTAGAGAAACATGCGTGGTCCACAGCTGACAAACCACATATGCTGGATGGACTTAAGGAAGTCCACAGAAGAAGAAAACACGACTGGGGTGACCCCAAATAACAGTGAAACCTGTGAGAGCCGGAACTTGTCGGCCGCGGAGTGTTTCTGTCTCTCACAGGTTTCCTGCCTTTGGCGGATATGGTCTTACGGCTCTTCCCTAGCTCTCTGTTGGTGGGAAAACCTGTGGTTTTCTTCTGGGACAGGTTTCTGCTTTACATGGGTCCTGGCTCTCCAAGACTTTACTGTACGTCGTTCATCAGTGTGCCACGCAGCCGTCTCGTGTCCTAAGCCCTAAGTCAGGGGAAACTATTCTGTGTATGTTTCCATTGAGGCTGCGTGAAAGCCTTAGGTTTTCCTTTGTCCTGGACGGCTGAGACAGTCACCACAGGATTAAGCAGACACTGCCACCAAACAGACCCACACAGAACATGTGGCCTGAAAACCCCACAGCATTACCTCTTGCCCCGTGTTGGGGAGTGTCTGAGAGTGGCTGTGCGTTGTCGCATGTCAATGAGCCTGCACCTCACAAGGCCGTTGGTAGGGTCTCTCCGCAGCCTTGCATGACGGTACCCCAATGTGACAGCCGGCTCCCTCCAAGCCAGTGACCCAGGCAACCAAGAACTGAGAGAGTCATTTCACAGCAGTTTAGGTTCCCGTCCTACAGCGCCCTGTGACAGTGGTAACACAGACATCCCAGTACCGTGTCCTTCCCTCCAGCTCTCCTGAGCCCTCCATTCTCTCCTTTGCTCTAAAGCCATTGCTGACCTTCTCGGGTGACAGTGACCTTCTGGAACGAGACTGAGAAGGCACACCCTGGAGCTCCCTGCGAGTTTCTGGGATACAGAAAGCACACTGATAGCGTGAGATGAGTCTCCAAGGTGGGGACCTGTGAGGCCTCCCATCACCTGGCGCTCAACTGGGATGGCCAGAATCACAGCGTCAGCTTACCAAGTTCGTCCCCCTGTCCCATGCACACGCATGCGCATTCTCCCACTTTCTTTCTGAGAGCTTAGTCACTAGATGCCGCGTTTCCACTTGTTGGCTCCCTCCTGAATGCTCTCCCATTTACAGATCGGATGCTACCGAGGCTTTGCTCTTGTGTGGAAGTGTCTCCTGCACAGGTGCCCCGCCGAGAAAGACAGGTAAAGTGCGGCCCACTCAGCTCCACAGCCTTCTGGGTAATTGGTGAAATCGTCGGGTCCTCATCCACAGAATGGACATGAGGGTGCCAGGCCTTACTGGTCATGGGGAGACAGGTGTCTGCGGCCCCACCCCCAGAATGGCTTTGAGATGCCATGCCACTCATGCTGTCGAAGTGGACATCTTCTTGTCCCTTGGACCCTGGAGTTAATTGTGAGCAGGTGACAGCAGTCTTGGTCTTCCCGGGGTTCAGACACGGTGACTCGTTTTCCCCAGTTTTTAAGAACACAACTTGCCAGTGGTACAGTGTGCCCAAGGTGGTCACCACATTTCTGGTGCTTGTAGGCACTAGGGAGCACTTAGCTGTTGCTCTTCTGAATGGTGTTGGTCTCTGCCTTCGGAACCGGTTTTCCCTGGAGTAGCTGGCAGATAGTCAGTGCTCCTGGCCACTTAACAAAAGCTTCGAGGTTCAAGGTCACCCAGAAGCGCATCGGAAGAAAAGACTGGCAAACTACTTCCAAAGAAATCAGCCACTGAATGAAGACTCTGGAGCTCAGCTCTGTGTAACACACGACGGGTCACCTGAGTCGAGTTGCCTGCCACGCTCTGTCTACGTCAGGCCCTGGTACCCAGTCCTTACATCAGCGACCTGTGCCGTGTGTCCACTCCACACCCTCGGGGCCGGGGATGGCTCTGTTCCCGTCGTGTGCGCATCACTCTGAGGCTGGTGGTGGGCACGCCCATACTCAGACATCAGCACCAAGGTGTCTGCACTCTGATACAAGCGCACCCTGTGGTACTGGTCTCGTGCACTCTGCAGACGCCGTGGTCTTTACAGGTGAAGGTGTGACGCAGCCCGGCCCCGAGCATGTCCGCTGGTGCCCTTTTCCCTACTGTGTGCTCACTTTACAGACAACAGTCGGTTGTTGGTGTGATTTTCACACGTGCTGCGAAACCAAACAAGGTTCCTGGGACTCATGGGATTGAGAGATTGGCTTCATTGAGGCGCTCTGGAACCAAAGCCTCAATGTCTCCGAGGTGGGCCTGCGTGGATGGTGCTGAGCTGGTTTGCTCTCTCATCTGTGCCTGGCTCGTTCGGTTTGTAAGAGATCAGTTACAAACCCTACCTGCTGCTGTACAGTCTGTCCTGACCCGTAGTGACCCTGGAGGGCAGGGTAGAACTGACCCAGAGGGGCTTCCGTGGCTGCAAATCTTTAGAGGGGCAGACTGCTTCTTCTTTGTCCCATGGAGCAACTGGTGGGTTTGAACCGCCAACGTTTTGTTCAGCAGCCCCTCGCTTAACCCTCTGCTCCTGAGGGTGGTTAGGGGTTGTCAAGTCCCTACGTTCGGGAGGCTGCCACCCAGGCGGCCTGGAGGAGTGTGGTCGGCAATCTGGGGCACCACTGGGAGCTGGTCAGGGCTGGCCTTGGAAAGCTTGTTCTTGGACACCCCCATGTCATTTCCCCGCCTCCCCCAGCTCCACTGTCTGCTGCCCCTGTGTGTGAATGGCCCAGGACGTACCAAGCTAAAGAAAGGGGCCCCAGCAGCTGTCTGTGCCTGAGGGTGCCTCGGAACACAACCCCAAAGTTTTCACCAGCAAGTCGGTTCCAACTCACAGCAAGCATGCGCACCCACCGCAGAAGGACGCACTGCCCGGTCCGGCGCCATCCGCTTCATCTTCGCTGTGTTTGAGCCCACTGTGGCTGCCACTGCGTCAGTCCATCATCCTAGTTTTCTCTGACTGTCCACTTTACCCAGGATTCGTCCCTCCTGATAGTAGGTCCAAAGTTAGGAAGAGGACGCCCTGACATCTTCGCTTCTAAGGATCATCCTGTGTGTCCTTCCAAGGCAGATTTGTTCATTCTCCTGGCAGCCCACGGCAGAGGCCACATTCTTCACCAACACCCTAATTCAAAGGCGTCACTTCACCTCTGCTCTTCTGGCAACATAATTTCTTCCGTCTTCAGATCGTCTACTTTTTTGTTTGTCCAAATGAAGCGATTAGAAGAACCACCCCATCCCATCAGCCCTGTTGCTCCATCGTGTCCTGAGGGTCTGACACCACAGAGCCCACAAGGGCAGCTGCTAGGACTGACAGAGTCTCTGTACCTCTTGGATGACCTCTATGAGTGACCTCTGTCGCACCCTGTACTCCCTTCCCAGCGGACAGCGAATGACAGACCAGCATCTGGCCAGCTCTAAGCTCGGACTCTCTCTGTGCTGTGATGTCAGCTTCTGGTTGTGCCCCGTCCTTGCCCTCGGTCTGAGGAGCGCCTCTCTCATGAACACAAGCTCACTCCCCGGCAGCTCCCTGTGGGGTCGGTTGAGTTGCAGTGGTCCGTCTCATGCCATAGAAACAGACTTTAAAAGAGCGAATGCTCAGGGCAGACCTTTCATACCAGTGAAGTGAAACTGTTTGGTGTTTGAAGACTTCAGGGGATGTTTTGGTTTTAGGTTTAAAGATTGTGTCAGGGTCCTAGTTTCAAGGGTTCATCCACCTCCCATGGCTCTACAAAGTGTAGAATCCAGAACAATATGAAGTTCTGTTCTGCACCCAACTCCTGCTCTCTGGCGGGATGGCCTGTGGGTTTACCTTCTGCCCGACATTTCTAAATCCTAGGAAATCCTCAGATCCTAAGCTGGTCGGTTCCTGCCCCGAGCCCTCTCCATCTCCACAACCAGCCCCGAGAATCGTCAGCCCGCGGAGGCTGGTCCCAGGACATCCCGGTCCCTCAGCTGTCAGCCTACTTTAGATGTGGGTCTCCAGCAGCCATAGAGGCCCAGGGTGTGGATGAAAGCACGTTGTGGCATGAAGGAAACGTTGTTAGTGTACAATTTGACGCATTCTTGGTGTACCCATTATGTTTCAGTCTGCACTCGGTCTGTCCCGGGGCTAAAGTCTGTCTGTGTGTCTGCTTCTCAGCAAAAAGGTGAAGGTCCTGGACTCGCTGCTTGGAATGATTCAGAAGTTCCCCTACGATGACCCTACTTACGATAAACTCCATGAAGACTTAGACAGAATCAGAGGAAAGTTCAAACAGGTTCGTCTGACGCGTGTTTCTTTTCCAGGGTCGGGCTGGGTGGGTCTCCCTGGGGCTCCTCGTGGGCCTCATGAATCGTCAGCAGAAGCAGATATGAGGAACCTTCCAAAAGTTCGTGGGAAAATGGAGGGAAAAGATACTAGAATTTTTCTGCGAACCTTTTAACCTCTGTGTCTCAGCAAAGGAGACGTGTCCATACGTGACCACTGCTTGGAGGCCAGGTGTCAGGACTTACCTGATGGTGTGTGTTCGGGATCGGAGTGTGTCCCCAACACTGGGTGCTGTAGGTCCTAACCGCCATGACTCCTGCTTATCACCCCACAGGGGGACGGGGGACAGGTGGTGTCTGTTGTGCTGTGGAGGCAGTATTGATGTAGGGGGTGCCTTCGGTCCACTTCTCTTAGGAGATAAAAGAGGTTAAACAAACGAGTAGAGATTGGGACATGCACGCACACACACACACACACACACACACACACACACACACACGGCGATTTCTAAAGAACCAGGAAACAAGCTGAAAGACTTCGCAGGAGCCAACTGAGAGAGGCCCCCCCTCAAGAGTCAGCGCCCTAAATCTCTCACTTTTAGTGTCCTAAACTAAGAAAAAATAGATTTCTGTTTTAAAGCCACCCCCTTTGTGGTATCTCTGTTACAGTGGCGCTAGAGAACTGAGAGTTAGGAGTCCTGGTGTGGCGCTGTGGGGTAAGCACCGGACTGCTAACTGCAAAGTTGGCAGCTCAAACCCATCAGCCGTTCTTGTCAACCCATCGTATACAGGGTCGCTGTGAGTCGTAACTAACTCCACAACAAACTGGAGGGAACACATTTCTGTTCCTTAAAACCAACCCCTTGTGGTCTGGTGGGCACAGCCACGCTGGAGAACGGAGAGGTGGGCACACAGATGAGCAAACTGCCATCGTTTTCTCCTTCGTGTGTTTTCAGCTCTGCTCATTACTGAATGTCCAGCCCGACTTCAAAATTCCCGCGGAAGGTTCCGTGCTGTCGTTTTGAGGATGAAAGATGCACAAAGACGACACATCCAGCAGCAGATGTCCTGACGCCAAGTGTCTAAGAACGCGATTAAAGGCGGGGCAGTGAGGGGGCCTTCATTACCCCACCATCTCCCCCCCACCCCCTCATGCCTCTGCACATGTGCTGCTCCTTTGTTGGTGTTTGCCTTGTCTGCGGAGACCCCGACAGATCCCGAGTCACCACACCCGATGTGGGGCCTGTCACCTTCCCTCCCCTCCAGCAGGGCCACCAGGATGGTCCCTGACCGGGGATAGTCCCTGTAAGATTATCACTTGGCCTGGACTCGGTGCTCAGAAGAGCAGTTTGTAAGAAAACAGGAGCGATGGGGCAGGCGTCCAATCCACGTGGCCCTTCCCAAGTCTCACCAGGGGCCAGGCGCTGGGTCACCTGCTTCTTCCCAATGAGACTTAAGTCTGCAGGAGCCCGCTTCAGAGAGGAGGAAACCGGGGTGGGGGCAGGCTGGGTCTCAGCGAGTGTTTCCCGGGTCTAATGAGCATGACCATCACCAACTGTGGGTAGCACTATGGACAGTGGGTATTCCAGAACACTTAGCTGTGCTCATGAGGAACCTGTACCCAGACCAAGAGGCAGTTGTTCGAACAGAACAAGGGAACCCCGAATGGTTTAAAATTAGGAAAGGTGTGCACCAGGGTTGTGTTCTTTAACCTGTATGCTGAGCAAACAATCCGAGAAGCTGGATTATACGAAGAAGGTGACATCAGGATTGGAGGAAGACTCATTAACAGCCTTTGATATGCAGATGTAAACCTTGCTTGCTGAAAGCAAAGAGGACTTAAAACATTTACTGATGAAGATCATAGAGCACAGCCTTTGGTATGGATTGTATCTCAATGTAAAGAAAACAAAAATTCTCACCACTGGACCAATAAACATCATGAAAAATGGAGAAAAGACTGAAGTTGCCCAAGACTTCATTTTGCTTGGATCCACCATCAATACCCAGGAAAGCAGCAGTCAAGAAATCAAACAACTTATTTCATTGAGCAAAACTGCTGCACAAGACCTATGGAGCAAAGATGTCAGCTTAAGGACTAAGGTGCGCCTGACCCAGGCCATTGTGTTTTCAATAACCTCATATGGATGTGAAAGCTGGACAGTGAATAAGGAAGATCGTAGAAGAATTGATGCCTTTGAGTTGTGGTGTTGGAGGAGAATACTGAAAGTGCCATGGACTGCCAAAAGAACCAATAGATCTGTTTTGGAAGAAGTACAGCCAGAGTGCTCCTTGGAGGCCAGGATGGCTAAGCTTCGTCTCTCCTATTTTGGACACATTGACAGGAAGGAACAGTCGCTGGAGAAGGATGTCATGCTGGGTAAGGTGGAGGGTCAGAGAAAAAGAGGAAGACCCCCAACGAGATGGATTGGCCAGGTGGCATCATTGATGGCGTCAAGTGTGGCAGCGTTAGTGAGGTTGGCCCAGGATTGGACATTGTTTCGTTCTGCTGTGCATGGGGTCGCTATGAGTCGGTTCTGACTCGATGACACCTGACAACAACAACAACATGGTGTTTTTAATTGCCTCATAAGCATATGAAAACTAAACCGGAAATAAGGAAGACCACAGAAGAATTGATGCCTTTGAATTGTGGTGTTGGTGAAAAACTACTGAAAATACCACGGACTGCCAGAAAAACCGGGGTTGGAAGAAGTCCAACCACACTGCGCCTGGAAAACGAGGGTGATGAGGATTGGTCTCTGATCTTGGATGTGTTGTCAGGAGTGACAAGTCTCTGGAGAAGGACAACATGTTTCGAAAAGTAAAGGGTCAGCAAAAACAAGGAAGACACCCCCCCTCCCCCAAAACAAGGAGCTGGATTGACACAATTTGCAGCAACCACTGAAGCTGACGCAGGGTTGACCAGTGTTGTGTTCTATTGTACATCGGGTTCCTGTGAGTCAGAACCAACTCAACAACATCTAACAAGAAGCAGCCCGGTACATCACCTGCTTGGGGCGATGTGGTGTGGGGCTGGGCTTCCTAGTACTGTGGAACCAGTGGAGGTTCTGGGGACCCTAGGGTGACCAGTCTTAGAAGAGGAGGCCCGTCTGGTCCAGGCAATCCTGGAAATCTTCCCATTGGTCCTCAGGGTTCCCTTTAAACCTTCAACTAAAACATCCCCCAAAGTCATCTTGAAACCAAGCAGTTGCTCCACTGATCTGGGAAAGAAAGTCGAGCATTAGGCTTACCTAAGAGAAATCTCTGGGCTCAGTCAGACAGGGGCAGCTCCAGGGATTATTAAATCAGGAGCTTAGGGGACTGTGAGTTTAGGTTCACGAGGGAGGAACCGCTCAGAAAAGGACAGTGAGGATGTCACCCACCCACAGGCCGCTGTAGGCACCGCTGAACTGGGGGGTGTTCTGTTGGGTACATTCTCTCCAACAACAGATTTTACAAAACAACATGGCTGAGGGGGACAGACTTGGAACCAGAAACGAAAAGTTAGGTGCTGGGACTGTTTGGGACCCCGCGCTGTGTGCAAACAGGTCCAAGTCCCCAGTAACAGGCGCCTTGGTGGCACAGTGGTTAAGCACTCAGACCCACCAGGGGCTCCCGGTGGGGCAGTCCCGCTCTGCCCTGCATGGTGCCCAGAGCCTGTCTGAAAGCTCTCCCCTCCACCCCACTCTGAAATTGGCTCTGTGGGTCACAGTGGGTGAGCAGGACACTTCCAGGCCGAGAGCCTGGACCAACTGAGGTGTCCAAAGCACCGGCCTTGTCTTCCTCCCGACTGTCCTGATGTTGATGTGGACAGCATCTGTCTTCGGAGGGGGCAGTGTGGTTATATGTGGGTTGTCTTCAGTTTCCTGGGTGGATGTTTGTGTTCTCCAAGCTGTCTACTTTGATACTGGGCCTTTGTATTATCAGAAGAAAATAAATACCTCATCTTAAAGCAAAGGGCAGTCTGGGACCCTGTATCATACAATGTGCCCCCCTCCCCAGGTCTGAGCTCACGTGTCTCATTGTCACAGGAGGAGGATCCCTGGTGGTGTGGGAGTGAAGTGCTTGACCACTAACCCACCTAGACTGCAGTGCAGGAGAAAGACCTGGTCACAAGTAATGGCCCGGGGGTGGGGGTGGGGGGCAGTTAGCCGCTGTCACGTGGGGTGCTGAGTTGGCAGTGACTTCAAGGAACTCAGCAGTAGTTAAGGAGCCCCCCTCCCTCAGTGGTGCATAGTCGGTGCTCTCTCAGCTGTTAACTAAAGCACAGTTTGAGTCCACTCAAGGTACGTCAGAAGAAAGGCCTGGCGATCTCTTTCCCCACAAATGAGACCCCTGTGGAGCAGTTGTACTGTTGACAGGTGGGGTGCCAGGAGGAAGAGTCAACGTGAACATAGCTGGCTTTTAGAAGTTCTAGTTGCTATGGAGTCTGGTGTGGTGCTGTAGAATGAACACTAGACAGCTAACTGCAAAGGCCAGAGGTTCAAACCCACCAGCCTCTCCTCGGAAGTCCTATACAGGGTGTCTGTGAGTCAGAACTAACTCCACAGCACATAACAACAACAGTTATTCCGGAGTCCTGGTGTGGACTGCTAACCCTTATAAGGTTGGTTCAAACTCAACCAGCATTTTCTGGGAAACTACAGGGTCGCTGTGAGGTGGAACACATTTGACCCTTGTTAAGTGTCATTGAGTCAGTTCTACGACAGCGACCCGGTGTAGGGTTTCCAAGGAACGGCTGGTGAGTTTGAACCACCGACCTTATGGTTCAAACCAACTTTATTTGTGGTCAAGTGCTTACCCTACAGCCTCACTCTAGGACTCCTTGATGAACCACATGTATATGCACACAAGTTCTAATGTGATGTTGTAGGATAAGCACTGGACTGGTAGCCACAAGGTCGGTGATTCAAACCCACCAGCCTCCTGGGAAACTGTACAGGCACTGAGCCAACAGCGTTAACAATACTTACTGTAGGAGCCCTGAATCCTGTTGGCACCATTAATAAATGCTGGGCTGCTCACTAGAAGATCTGTTCCCAGAAAGACACTGTTAGTGCCTTCGAGTCGGTTCTGACTCACAGCAACCCTGTACAGGCTTTCCAAGGAGCAGCTGGTGAGCTTGGACTACTGACCATGCAGTTCAACTGACATTGTAGTTCAGCGCATTCACCCGCAGCGCCACACCCAGGACTCCTGGGTGCCTAGAAAACCCACTGGGGAGCTCTACTGTGTCCCGCGAGAACCGTGGTAGCATACTGATGGCACATCAGGCTGTTAACCAGAAGGTCAGCAGTTCGAGCCCACCAGTCGCTTCGCAGAAGAAAGATGAGGCTTTCTGCTCCTGTAAAGATTTACAGCCCCGAAAACCTGATACAGGGTCCTTATGAGTTGGAGCAGGCTTGGCACACAGCCACCACCTCCATCCCGTGTCCCATGAGGTGGCTATGAGTCTACATCATCTTGACCCCCAACAACCACAGGACCATGGTAGAGATGGTCCCTATGATACTTACGAAATGGGATGCCCTATTGGCCCCCGCCCATCAGCATGTAAACAGTGGCTTTCGGATAGAATCGCCATCAACCCACGGCTGCCTCTACCTCTCTACTGGCTTCCCTGCTTCCTTGCAGCAGCCACACCCAACTCAGAGCATGCGAGCATGCTCATAGCAGTTAGGGAAGTTTCAGGTTACAGCCAGAAAGGACTCTGTTCTTCAGTCAGGAAGGCCTCTCTCTGGCCCCATCCTTCCTCCCTGCCCGGGTTTGGTATGACAGCGTTCCTTAGCTCTGCCAGGAAGTGCCCAGGGCACCTCACTCCACCAGCAAGCCTCTGCCTGTGGCAATGAACTCTGTTACAAATCATTCACAACGGCTTCATCTATCAGCATCTCCTTCCACCTTTTCTACCCAGACACATCGGGGGAGGGAAAAAGAATGTTGGTTGGTGGGTGTTACAAAGACTGGATAAAAGAACTCTACGAAATAACTCACCGCCCGCCCTGCAGCTGGGAAGAGCCTG